CCCTTAATCCTGTAGTCCTCGGTGTCGTTGATGGGCGGGCCGTCGGTGTCATAGTCCTCCCAATTGCTGAAACTTCCCTTATGTTTGCTGTGCGCTAACGACCAGCTCTTGATACAGGAGTCGGTGGTCGCCACCCAAATGCTCTGGTAGTCGGGCGGCGTTAATATCATTTTGAGTATCGGCGCCGACTCCACGCATATCACCGCCCGGTTGTCGGGGTTCCGGAGGTCCGTCATCAGCACCCGTTTGTCGCGACCGCCGGAGTAAACGGTGGTAAAGGCGTCGTTGGTCTGGAGGGCCCACACGCCCTCGTCGTGCACTCGGAATGTGGCGACACATCGCTGTTGGCCTAACGACCAGTGCCTTATCGTGCCATCGGAACTGGCGCTCAAACACTGAGTGCCGTCCCGACTCACCACCAGTGCCCTCACGTTATCCGAGTGTCCCTTCAGTTTCATGAGCTTCTGGCAGCTCCGGGGGTCCCAAACCCTCAGCACTTTCTCCGTACTGCCGGACACGATGACAGTGCCGGCGGTATTCATGGCTAACGAATAGATACTGTCTTTATTGCCGGTCAGCGAGGATGTGGTCACTGTATTGTTGGACGCCGTGAGCGCCGTTAGGGTATTCACGTCCCACAGGAATATAGCCCTATCGAGCCCAGCACTGGCCACCTGTTCCTTATCCCTGGCGTATTGCCGGTCAGCGACGATGTGGTCACTGTATTGTTGGACGCCGTGAGCGCCGTTAGGGTATTCACGTCCCACAGGAATATAGCCCTATCGAGCCCAGCACTGGCCACCTGTTCCTTATCCCTGGCGTACGCCAAACACTTCACGTAATCTTTGTGTGTCCGCAGAGTCGACATACAGAAGCCTTTGTAGGCGTTCCACACCTTAACAGTGGTATCACTGGAGGCGGAGATGAGGTTTTTGCCGCCGCAGCAGAGGATGATATCGTTGCACCAGTCGGTGTGGTGCTCCATAGATAGGACATACGGTGATGACTGGTTCCGGGTGTTCCAGATCCTGATGATGGAGTCCCGGCCGGCGCTGTACAGCCGCCCGGAGTGCGGGTCCAACTGAAGTGAGTTGACGCCCGACCGGTGATACTTCTCGACCTCTTCGCGGATCACATAAGACACGGACACCTTCTTCCGGTTCTGATGGCCTGATATCTGTCGCGTATGCATCGCACACATCCTCAGCAGCTCCGGGAGCTGTCGGCGCGGTTGCTGTCGGTGTCGGTCTTCAGGCGTTGTCAGGTGTCTGAGTCGACACACTGTCGGCGCTCACCAAACGCCTGTCCCCTCGCCTTCTCGCGTACACCTCACGCGCGACCACGAGCTGGTGGTGCGGATTGGCTGGTGATCGGCCACCGGTTGATCGCCCGCTTAAGAGCTCTTCGGCCGGTAATTGTGTTTGAAATACATATCAAGTGTTTGTTTGTTATTATTGTTTGCGATAACAAACAGACAGTCATTACAGCGATCCCTACATTCACACCAATACTCACTGTACTTATGATGAGGTACCGCACCACAGATGGCGTGCCTTTTGGTGATAAGCCATGGCATCGGAAAATAGTAGCGAGATAAGTTTTACAAATTGTCAAAATATTTTATTATATTTATTATATTTAACTCAAAAACAGCAGTTTGTTTAATCAAAATATTATAGCTTTTTATATGTATTATAATTATCAATCGGATGAACGAAAATCGGGGGCAAAGAAATTGTGACCAAAATAATATGCTTTCAATTGAATGGGCGCTCAATATATCTCGAAAATACACCGACAATACAGTATACTCTCGGTCTCTATATCTCTATAATAAGCTCTCGGGTGAAGCTCTCTATCACTCACTCTCTCTGTCTCTCTCACAACACTCCTAACCCTCACACCTACACCTATACGTTAAGACTGTACGGGGGGTCGGGATTGACAGCCATGAGGCACCGGAGTCTCGTGGTCTCGGTCTTCAACTGTGCGATTTCGCAGCGGAGCTTCAGGTTCTCCTGCTCGAGGAACGCCGCCCTAATCGCTATCTCGTCCTCCTTAGCCCGACGGGCGTCCCTCGACCTCTTGGCCGCCTCGTTGTTCTTGCGCCTCCTCTCCCAATACGCATCGTCCTTAAGGTCTTCCGGGAGGGGCCGCCCCCTCTTGCGGTTGGCCGACCCGCCCGACGATCCCATGTCCGCCTCCCCGGAGGACGAGTTGCCGCTGGAGTGGCCGTTCTGTGACGTGTCGTCCGCGGAGGACATGTGGTGAGCCATCGGCGTCATGATGGAGGCCGAGGAGGTTGTGGTGATCAGTGGCGTCGATATGGGAGTGGGTGTGGCGGCGGACGTCGCGCTGATTGGCGTTCCGTTCATTGGTTTCAACTTCTTGTCGGTCGGGCTATGAGTGCCGTTATTATTGCCGTTGGTTTTGGTGCTCAACCGCTGATCGGGTGATACCATCGACGCGGCGCTGGTATTCATGTGCGTACTGTTGGTCTTCGAGAACGACGACGGGTGCTGTCCATTGCTGGACGACGAGCGCCGGCTATTGTCTTGACTGTGCTGTTGTTGTTGGAGTTGCGACTCGTGCTGACCCTTCCGCGACACCAGCATCTGCTCGCGGAACTGGAGGTACGCCTGGTCTGAGGCGGTGGCCAACAGCGACTGCGTGGCTATAGTGTCGGCGGTCAGGGGTAGCCCTCCGTAGAAACCCATCACTGGATTCATGGAGACTGAGAGGGGGTCGCGCGGGTAGGCTTTGAACGGCCGGTTGTACTTCATGTGGCGTTTGGCGGAGTCGTTGTTGGCGTAAAGGGAGGCGGCGTTGGAGGCGGTGGTCAGTAGACCGCCGGACGTACCGAACCGGTCAACACCGGACGGAGTGGTGGGCGAGTGATGGCTCGAGAAATGCATTTCCATCTGATTTAATGGACCCAAACCTATAGGCGACTCACTTCCGGATGGACTGCGCGACGAGTTGTTGTGGCGATCGTTGATCCACCGACTCCTGTATCAAGAGCTGGTCGTTAGCGCACAGCAAACATAAGGGAAGTTTCAGCAATTGGGAGGACTATGACACCGACGGCCCGCCCATCAACGACACCGAGGACTACAGGATTAAGGGGAACCCGTCCATCAGGAACTACACGGTGCTCAACGACAAGCGCTTCATAATGACCAAAGACACGGACGGCAAGGTAGCCGTGTATGACGTGCTCAAGGCGTCCAGAGTGGAGGACTTGGGCTCAGACGTGGACTTCGAGGCCGAAGTGAAGAAGCGGTTCAAAATGGTTTACGTTCCCAATTGGTTCGCTGTGGACCTCAAGACAGGCCTACTGTCCATACACTTGGAAGAGCCCGACTGTTTCGCCGCGTGGGTGTCGGCCAAGGAGTTCGGCTTCTACTCGGAGAACGACGGACCCGACCCTAAGATCAATTTGGGGGGACTCCTACTGCAGGCGCTGTTAGAGCACTGGCCGCAGATCTACGCCAACGACGAGGAACTGGACCAACAGAACGGCCACCAAATGAACGGACAGCCGAACTACGCGACGCTCAACGACTCGAAGCAGAAGCTGAACGACGGCCGGCCGGACAGCGCCGCCTCTGTAGGCGCCCGTCCTGTCAACCAATACTTCTCTGTCCCACTGCACACACCCGTCATATTCAGCGAGGGAGGGAACCGGACGCTACTGAGGCTACTGGTGTGCGACGCGCGGCGCGAGACTGAGGACGTGCTACTGCAGGAGACGGTGCCTCCCTGGGTGCTCGACGTAGTGGTCAACAAGAATATGCCTAAATTCAACAAAATTCCCTTTTATTTATTACCGCACGTGTCGTCCGGCATTAAACCACTGCGTAAGGAACGCCTATCGGCCAGCGATATGCTACAGGTGCGCAAAGTGATTGAACACGTCTACGAGAAAATGTTGGGCACCAACTCCGAGACTGGGTCGACGACTACCGGGCCCGCCAGTGGTAGCGGTGCGGCGGCCACTAATGGCCACAATAGCGGCGGTGGTGCCGGTGCTGCGGCCGCCACGCAGAAAGTCAGTGATAGTTATAATAGTTCCGGCGGTGATAGGGATGACGAGCGGCTGTCCATAGCCGAGGAGAAGGTGGAGCTGTCGTGTCAGGACATGACACTCGACCCGAACCTAGACTTGCGAACTGTGCGCCACTTTATATGGAAGTCCGGCGGAGACCTAGTATTACACTATAAGCCGCTTAAGTGAACAAAAATCTAATGAACTAATAATAATTAAACTGACGATTAATATTGAATTAAATTATTATACATATTATAGATAGAGAGAGAGAGAGACATATTTTTAGTTACAATTATATATATAATTAAGTGATTTAATTTATGCCATTATATTTTTTCAAATTGTAAATTTCGTATTAATTATTAGCAATTTTTTTAATTTTTATTATTTTTTGTTTGTCTGTTGTATTGTGGAAAGACAGGTACAAAACGGATGGTGTGTTTTGTGTGCGATATTCGCGGCAAACGTTGCATTTTTTGCTTAAATTTTAATTGTTTTTTTCTTGCAATCAATGATTTGCATACAAACTGTTGTTCAAAATCACGCAAAACTCGAGATAAAAAGTTTTTATATTTTATTATTACATAATGAGATGACTATTGGTTATTATGAAGCGATAATGTATTTCTGTTATCAAATTACTAGTCTTTAAATTAAATTAATTGGAAATTAAAATCATTGCGAAATAAAGAGAAATCTATTCATGGATTCATAAAAATGTTTTAAACGTGTTTTGATTTTAATTGTGATTTATATTTTGGGTTAAATTGTGATTTTAAGTGAAAAAGTTTTAGCACTCATTGTATGCAAACGCGTGGCAATAGGTGTCTCTGAGTGTCACTAATGTATGCATACATTGCACTCAATCTGACAAATGAGTGCAAAATCGATGACAACAACAATGGATACAAACCAGTGATGGCTATGTCATTGAGTTGATCCGCAAACTGATCCCTTGTCTCGTAATCTAATATAATTATAATTTAACACTTATTTATTTAACATTTTATGACCTAGTTTATTAGCTAATCCATTGCTTTTACAAAAAGCACTCATTTATTGAATCCTATTTACATTTGGTGGCGAAACACCACTCAATCACTCAATTGATCCGCAAATCAATTCAAGTCTTAATCATAATTAATCACAACTTCAACGCCATTCACACGTATTGTGTCCGACGTATGGCAATGTCTGCGAACTGATCCCAACGCCACGAAACCACTGCCGCGACAATGGTCTCGAAGCTGACGGCACGACTGGTGACAGTTATGGTGATAATGAGCGCCATATCGTCATCGATGGTCTCCGGCGACAACGGTCTGGTGGACGACAACGAGTGGCAAGACTTCACCCTCGAGTACACGTGCGACGACTTGTGCGCCGCCGACGCCCTATACGACGGCCCGCCCGACGCCATCCTATCGATGCCACCGCCCCCTCTGCCCCCCTCTATGCACGCACTGCTCCTCACGAACCGCACCCCCATTGCCGACGACTGCAATCTGTGTCACGTCTTCAAAGACCCCACGGATTACGACTTCGCGTCCGTTCCCAACCCGGAGGTCAAGGACCAGGACTCGTGGCTATCGGTCGTTGTGGTGACAATACTCGGCTCAACCCTCTTCTGCCTCCTGTTCCTCGTCTTCCTCTTCAAATGCAAACAGTAATGCAATTCATTGTCTTAACCATTATCTCTCTAATCCATTATCTCTTTGCGTTTGGGAACAGTTGGAAGATATTCCCGGTGTCAGACTCGTGTCCTATACTTCCGGAGAGTTTTTTAGGCGGACATAAGTCGGCGCCGCCTCCCTGTTCGCCGACCGACTCATGCATATCGCCAGTGGTTAACGAGAAGTCGCCGCAGAGTGTGATAACGGACGCGCCCTCCAAGAAGACGTGCGTCACGTCCAGCAAGTACTGGAAACGGGGGCCCAATGGCCCCCACGGGCTCCACAGCCCCGACACGGATAGGGTGGGCACCGACTGCAGCACAGATTTTGACCCCTATTCGGACGCCGCCAGCTGTACGTCGAGTCCGGTGTACGCGGAACTCGATCCGGCAGGTGTCACACATGCCCTGTCCACCGGACCCACTCCTATCATACTGGGCGGGCCCTCCATCAGCCCGTACGCCGTGTGCAACACATACAGCGAAGTGGCGGACGCCGTGCGTATGGCAGCGCTGGGCTCGTCATCAGCCCTACTGCCGGACGCGTCGTACGACAACGCAGCCTACCTGACCGGTAACCCCCACGCCATATACCACGGCTCCCGTTCCCTGAGGCGGGCGGCGCATAGGGCGGCCACTTTGGGACAGTTGGGCAGCGCTACGCCGTTATTGCGGTCGCATTACAGCCTCAACGCGACGCCACAACAGCTTAATTACCTGACCAGCGATAGGCCGCAGAAAAAACAGCGCCCACACCACGGTGGACAGGCATCCCGGAGCTCGAGGGGCCTACACGACGAGCTACAGGCGAATCGTTTCGAGCGACAGCACGGAATTTATACCGATCTCCCGGTCCACTCGCCATCGCTCACGACGTTTAGGACGGCCCGACAGCTTAACCCGAGAGATAACCCGAAGCGACCGTTGCCTCCCGTGCCCGGCGTTAGGCTGTGAGGGGACGGGCGGTCTGAATATGAATGCCAAACGATTAGTGAATTGACAGCACTTTTCGGTTTAATTTATTTATTTTACTCACGATTCTGATCAAAGGTCTCATGTTTTTTGACTCATTTTTCTGTGTTTTGTTAGCGAAAAGTATTTTCCATTTAATGTCAGTGTTTTTGATATGATTTTTGAATTTACTTTATTACCGTAATTGGATTTATGTTTTACTCATTAATCCCTTTCCCAGCATTTGGTGCGTAAAGTATTCATCACTTAAATGTCTCACAATTTTTTGAATGTAAAGTTTTAACGTTAATGACAATTATTATAAATTTAAGTATTGATTAATATTTACTTAATTGTAAATTTAATACTAATATTGTGCTCAATATTAAGACAATTACTGTTAATATGGATATTATTAGTAGAGAAAAGGCTAACAATTTATTTGTTAATTTAATTACAAATTAACTTAAGGCACGAATGAAACCCAATTTGTAAATAGGATTTAATCATAAATGACTTATTAATATGTAGTTTTTAGTCCCATATTTTATTCACCCATTTTTATACTAATGTTTTTTGATAAATTTAGCTATAATTTAATTTTTAGTATTAATATAACAAAGTTTTATGCATTACTTTACTCAACGAATATTGATTATTAATTACTACTAAAGCTGTTTAAATATGAATTAAAATCAAAGTTTTATGTCAAACACACGCTATATATCTATGATGTAATAAAATTTATTTAATAAAAACGAAATTGTGAATAAGTGGAAAAATTAGTGTTTATTGTGTAATCATTAGTAAATTGCTTCTGCTGTTAGTCTACTTTTCCGATTGCCATCCCTTACCCGACGTTACGTTATATACTGATTGCGAATTGCATAATACATTTCAATGCAAATCATATGTGAGTAGTGTTTATATAACAGTCAATATGAGTCTTATCTCCAAAATATTAGGAAATTGTTAATAAATGGGAAAAATACAATTTCCCAAACAAATTAACACAACTGAACACAGATTGATGTAATCGTTACATCGATAGCTGTTTATCGGAAATCACAAATTTACTAATAAACACAAAAATAAAATAAACTGCAATACAAGTGAAGCCCTATTTGAACACTACAGTGAATGGGAGGCAGAGAAACGAGTTTTCAAAGCGTTCACTGAATATACGAATGACTGAAACAAACGGTAAAATCAAAAGTGAAAAACTATTTTACAGTCCATTCGTATCGTACGAGTCGTGCAGTTGTGGTGAAAAGCCTTCGCCGAAAAACACGTGTTTGTGATCAACCACTGGACGACACATACCTCTCGCGCCGAGACATACCTGTGCCCTAATCGCCGCCACCACAGGACATACCAGTGCTTCAGACAAGTATACATCGATTGACAAACGGGTGACAGTTATCAGAGATAATGGCGCCAAGTCTTGAAATGCGGGATCAGATGCCGTTTGGCGTGTGGGGTGGCGTCACCTCTACCCTCGACTGGTGCGAAGACAACTACACGACCACCAGATTTGTGGCCGAATTCTGGAACACTTTGTCCAATATAGTGATGATATTACCGCCGATTGTGGCCATCTATCACTCGGCCATCAATGGCTTTGAGCGACGGATTATGCTCTGCTTCGGGTATGGGATCTGTTTGAGTGATTGACACCATTGTCTGTGTGTTATCTTAGCTGCCAATCGGTGGTGTACTTTGATATCAGTTGATGTAATTGCATGTGTTTTATGACTGGTATTATCGCTGGGAATCAAAGTCTAAATGATTTGTCAAATCATATCATTGATAATACCATTCATGCCATTGAATAGGACTATGAGTTTAGGCAGTAATTTATGAGACAATCGGTTGTCTCGACGCAAAAGTTATGAAATATTTTTGCAATTATTAAGCATTTTTGCATTTATTTAGTAAATAGTGTATTAAATCACTAAATATTAGATTTTTGTTTGAGTCATTGCAGTGATAATCTTGAGCTAAATGTTTATTATTGGATCAGTTGTGGTGATAATAATAGGATAATCGCGTGCATACTATTTGCTCTGTTTTTTATTTGTTTCAAATTGAATACTAATTTGTTTGTAATGTCTATAAAAAACTGATGACTTAATGAGGAAATAATTTTATTTATACTGCAATTAAATTTTAATTAAAAGCTAATATAGTTTTTGATGTAATAATAGCTACAATGCAGACAATAAGCTCCCTTTCCCCATAGATTGCCAGTGCTGGCACACCAGATTAACTGTCAATCAAGTGTCAAAAATTATAAAATTTTATTTTATAATTAATTAGAACTTCCTATTAATTTTTAAATTTTTTATTTATTAAATGATGTTTTAATTTAATTAAAAATTAATAACTATTTGACACATACCTGAGCTCAATGGGTGTCATAAAAGTGAATATTAGGACAAATATACTCATATTTTATACAAAAAGTCATAAAAATTGTTTGGATGTTTGAAATAAGGGCTAAAATTTTTGTGTTTTAAACGCCAAACTTCCTGTCAATGAGAATGAATTAAAAGGGCAGAGAGAGAGAGAGAGAGAGAGAGAGAGAGAGAGAGCACTGTGTTTAACATCATTTGATTTACTTTGAATATATTGTACCCGAAAGTATAGCCCTAAGCCATTGGTGTAGAAAATTACTGCAAATATGTGTCACAAAAACTTTTTATGTTGGTTTTCCTGTATTTTTTTATTTATATTTACTTTTACACAACAAAAACCTTAACTTTCACTTCACTTTCACTGTCAGTATTACCTGTTTTATGCGACAAATACCGTTAATGTTAGATAATGTTTGACTTTAGGGATAATTAGTGTTACATCTATTGGACTCATTCAGTCGTTAGGAGTATTGCCTAAAGAGATCCCTCAAAATCTAACCATTTTTTAAGTTCAAAAACAATTTAAAAGCTTTATGGGGGGCATAAAGGGGCACACAGTTTAGACCCCAAAAACTGATTATGAATTTCTAAACTGACTATCATTTGAATAAATAAAAGCATAAATAATTTAATAAATTAAACATAATTTTTGATAAAAAGTTTACTCATTGAACACTATCCTAACCTCTGACCTCAGGTTTCTATGCGCGGTGGGGTTCGGGTCGTGGATGTTCCACATGACCCTCAAGTACGAGATGCAACTGTTCGATGAGCTACCGATGCTGTGGGGCAGCCTAATGCTGGTCTACTGCATACTAACATTGCTGTACCCGAGTATCGACGCGTCGCCCACGGCTACGATGGCCACCAAATTGGGACTCGTATCATATGGCATAGTGTCGACCCTACTATACCTGTGCTTCAAGACGCCCCTCCTGTTCCAGTGCTCGTACGGCTTTCTGGTCACACTTATGCTCTACTTTGACATCTGTGTCGCCAAATACAAGCCCTGCGACCGCAGGATCTTCTATTGGGCCGCCTTTTTCTACTACTCCGGTAGGTGTTTGACCCGCAATACCGGCCCTACTAGTGATTTGTGTGTTTATAATTTGTTTAATGAATGTATGATTTGTTTTGCGATTAGGTTTCGCTCTTTGGAATATCGATAACCTATTCTGTGATAAACTGTCTCTTTTGAGACAAGTGTTGCCATCGTTTTTGGTCCCATTCACGCAACTGCACGCTCTGTGGCACTGTCTGGCCGGGTATGGCTCGTACCTGCATATCGTGTTCAGCGCCCATTCCCGAGCTCTGACCCGCGGCCAACAGGTGGACCTAATCTGGTGCTGGCACGGCATCGTCCTCTCAAACAAACAGCACTTCAAAAAAGTTGTTTAACACTCTGTCTGATGCTAACAATTAGTGTTTTTGTTTGTTTGCCATTCATTCGCGATACTATTGATTTAATGTTCGTTTATATGTTAATCAATTCATTACTTATGTTTTTAGGTCTCATTCATAATGACAATCGGTTTTTATAATCAGATTTTTTGCCAATTTTTGTCTTTATTTTACGCAATTTTGATTTTAATTTTATTCTTGATTTAAGTGTTTTTCGCACTTAAGATACAAACAAATCTCAAAGTGTTTCGCGAAATAAGTAATTCGAGACAATGTATGAATACAAACGCAATGTTATTATTTATTTTCTTAACTTTTCATTTCAAATATTAATATAATTTATTCCGCTTTTCAAATGTTGACCTAAATTGTTGCGCCTAAAAGTAATTCCTGTTTCTTATTTGGGCGCACCTGTAGTACAGCTCCTGTAGTATTACCCGCTGACAGCACTTGTCTTCCTATTCATTAACTTTTTCTTAATCTAATTCTTTGGCTTGATTTTCGTTTTATGTGTTTTACGTTTGATTTGTACTCAGATTTTAGGCAAAGTTTTTAGAGTTTTTTTTGACGAATTATCTAATTTTTATGCATATATTTGAATAGTTTTTATACTTAATTACAAATGAATTTTTAAGTCATTTATATATTACATATGATATTTCATATCTAATTATAAAGTTTTTTCAATCAATTTTCGATGAGTTTTATCGAAATACTAAGTCATTATATAATTGTATAATTGTTTTGTTAACAATATTAAGTGAATTTATAAGAAAAATGTTAATTTTAGATATAATTAATTGATTTTTATAATGAAATGTTTTTTTTACGATGAATTAATATAAAAGTTACGCTGTTTGATGAACATGTATTGAAATAATTAATTAATTATTAAAAACGAAAAACTAATTATAAATTTTTATCACAAGTTGTGTCATATAATAAATGATTAGCGAAACTTTATTATGTGTTATTTATAACAATAGTTTAGCAAAAAAGATATTTGTGAACACATTTTAAGTGCAAAACTTTGCGGTTATTTATAGGCACCGCGTTTTGTATGGGATTTGTGAGCGCACTTGAAATTGCGAAGCATTTCAATGCAATTAATTGTTATAAAAAAGTTTTTTTATTTAACTTAAACAACAAAAAGTGCTCACAATTTGCGTCAATCAGATTCCTAGAGTACATTTATAGAGCACTGGGAGGCACAGCTACTGGTACTTTAATTATATACCCCTACTACCTAAATGCATAATTTATTGCAATATAGGGGTAATACTGTACACAATTGATACAGATGTATTTATCGAGTTTACGATTCATTATTAATAAAGCAATATTTTGTAATCATATTTCTATGCCATAAACCATTATAAAAAATTTATTACGGTAATGACAATAATTCATATATTTTTTGCGTTGAATAGTGTATTACATTAAAAAATGTGTAATATAATGGTATGTTATGTGGAGTACGTGTGGAATATGTGTTAATCTGGTAATAGGAAGGGAAGGGATGTATTTCGGAGAGTAATCGCTTCGAAAAAAGCTTTACCTCTCACTCCATGTCCTCAATATTATCTCTTTTCCTGGTCTTAAAGTATTATCAATAGTATTAACGCATTATTTGAAGTTTATTGACAAATATATCTCAGGGATACAGGGGTTTGTGACACCTGTCCCCCACACACCTACACCTATCATACCTATCCTATCAAATTAAATTCTTACGCTATACTGTAATCTTAACACAAGTATTAAAAGCAATTAAAACTATTTAGTTATTAATAGAAATAAGTTGTTGACAACAAAAATAATCGCACGAAAATTATTGCATTTTATTACAATGAAATTATTGTACAAATAAAATAGTTTACCCAAGATAATTAAGTTGTAAAATTTAATTAAAAGGTAGAAAACAAATTGCCTAGTCTAACTGTCCACTTCCCATAGCAATGTGCACTACGAGTGCCCTCTATGTTAGCGCAAGCACTGGAGAAATGCCTTTGATTTTCACAACAAACACGTGATTCATATGTTTACAAATCAAGCCATACATCAAATTAATTCAAAAAACCAATGAATTAACGCCAAAATGTTTGCAAACATCACATCCCGAGTGCTATCACTATCACAGAGCTTACCACAGATCCGCCACTTCTCGTAAGTATCACCCAAACCGATCCCAAACACCACTGCCACCCATAACTAACTGCACACCACTTCTGGTGAACAACCATTTGAATAGCCGATCGCCGGTCGCGCAGTGGATCTGTAACCAGACGCGGCTCCGGGTGGTCGACAACAGTCAGTTGGGACGGGAGGCCATGCAGGAGAACAAGCGAGTGAAGTGTATCCACGTGTACACCAAGAAGAAGAATGGCAAGTATAGGGTCGGCGTCTTAGGCGACAAAGTGTTGGTCACTATCAAAGGGCAGATGAAGAGGGGCTATTTGGTGGGCCTTCGGGCATATCAGCGCCAAATGGTACCCAAGTTTGACTCGAATAACGTGGTGCTGGTCGAGGATAATGGGAATCCGTTGGGCACGAGGGTCGCCGTACCCGTGCCTCACTATCTCAGGTCCAAGGGTCCAGAGTTGGCCAAAATCATAGCAATTAGTTCGCGGTTTGTGTGACACATCATAATATATATTATGTAGACTTTTATGTGAATTACCATTTTGTGTACATTTTTATGATTATCAAGTGATTTAATGAATGCATTTAAAATATAGTTGTAATAAATTGTGAATAAAATACGCGTTCAATTGAATTATCATTTAATGACCTATTATTGTACGTTAATTTAAAAGTTTACAACTTTTTAATTAGCAATGCAAAAATTAAAACTTAGGTCTTTCGCTGGTGAGGTGGGGGCCACACCACCCGTTGTACCCCTGACTCCCCCCACCCTAAGCCGAAACACTGTTGTCCTCTTTGACGAGATCGGCACACTTCTCGCCGATCATAATGACCGGTGCGTTGGTGTTGCCGTTGGTGACGGTCGGCATGACGGAGGCGTCGCAAACGCGCAGTCCGTTCACTCCTTTGACCCGTAGTCGAGGGTCGACGACAGTGTCGCGGCGGTGGGCGGCGCCCATGCGACACGAGCCCACCAAATGGTAGCCCGTGTACGTCACCTGACGGATGAGACACCGGATGTAGGCGTCGCACTCGTGTGCGGAGAGCTGTCCTGCACAGAACTTGCAGCCGGGTATGGGTTTGTGTGGCCGGACATACGGGGCGATCGACGGGTGCTCGAACACATAAAAGGCCCACTTTGTGATGTCCACCATATCCTCGAAGTCCTGCGGATCGGACAGAAAGCGCGAGTTTATGACGGGATAGACGAACGGATCGGTGGACTCGAGTCGCACGAAACCGCGGCTCCGGATCCTCTCGAGCCTCGGCTGAACGAAGAAATAGGGTTTTCCGAGGAGATGGCGGTTGTAGGCCTTCCACTCGTCCTGAGCCTCGAACTGCACGATAGTCACCCGCGACGGGTCT